TGTTCCACTCTGACTTGTTCCATGCCGATTGGTTCCAATTTGAGTTGTTCCGCTCTGATTAGTTCCCTTCTCGTTTGTTCCATTTTGATCAACAGGCTGTGCAATGGTTTGATTGACTATGCTTGCGACAGGTGGCGTGGTACCACTAATTTTGTTGTTGCCCGAAACAGCAGTTTGTGGTGGTGGATTTGAGGGATTAGACGGCACAGAAGAGGACGAGGCTGTATTTGGTCTGGAAGGTGTAGGAGCAGATCCTGAATTGCTTCTTTGCAGGACTGGTGTCATCAATGGTGGTCTAGGTACAGAAGAGTTACTAGATTGATTTTGATGGGTTCCAAAAAACGATGGTCGCATGATCGTTTGTTTTGGAAGGTCTGCCCCAATGGGTTTTCCAGGTTGTTGAGCCATGTTGCCTTGAGGTTTGTTCTGATTAATCGGCGGCTGGGGAACCTGTTGCGGTACAGCAGGTTGTGGTTGAGCATGATTTTGGTTGGCAGGAGGTGCACGAGGAACAGGGGGCAACTTAAGAATATTGAGAACACCATTGATAAGTTTCATCTCATGTTCAGTACTATCAAGAGAACGATCTTCTTCGGTGCCATCATAGACTCGATTTATGGCCTTGTCAACAATTGCCTCGGCATCATTTGGAGCTCGTTTTCGGATCAAGTTGGCAACATGGTTACGATAAGCAGTTATGGCAGCGACCAGGTTAGGAGGAATGACTCTTTTTTGAGGAGTCGTGGCTGGTACAGCTCCGTGCGCAACTTGTGGTGCAGCATGAGCAGCTGTCTGGGTCTGGTGACCAGTTGGTGGTTGTGGTTGCTGTGATTGCACTGGTGCTTGGTTCGTTTTAGGTGGCTGCGGTGGTTGATAGTGAGGCTGTTGAGGCTGTGGATATGGGTGTTGATGTTGTGAATTTTGCGGATGCGGATGCTGTTGATGTTGAGGCTGTTGTTGTTGGACCTGTTGATGTTGGACCTGTTGTTGTTGGACCTGTTGATTTTGAGACTGTTGTTGTTGGACCTGTTGATTTTGAGACTGTTGAGGTTGAGGTTGCTGTTGCGAAGTTTGCTGTGGAGGTTGCTGTTGAGTGCCTTGAGATTGTGTTCCAGCGGCAGGTGGCTTCGGAGCATAGGGGGAACTATAAGAAGCAGGCGCAGAAGGTACCAATTGAGGTGCCATTGGAGGGATGAAAGGTGGCTGAATGACTTGAGGTGGATGATAACCCTGAGGAGGATAAGGAGAATAGTGAGCATTTGGGCCCATGTAAGGCTGGCCTGGTTGATATTGTTGATACTCCCCTTGTGCATGTGGGTTCATCTGATTGTGATATAAATTGGGATTCAACATATATCCAGGCGGAGGCTGACCGTAACCAGAAACTGGTGGGCCAGCTTGATATATTGGTTGGTTTCCACCTGCAACTGGAGGTGAGGGTGCTCTCTTCTTCTTCTCCTTTAGATAACTGGAACCGGGTTTCAGAGTCCAAGCCCAGCCTTTACCAGCACGTTTAGTACGTTCAAAACATTCATGCTGTCCTAAATTATGCCTCACACTGCTTTGCCACCCCTTTGATTCTTGAAAGGCGTAATACGGATATTGGACCTCCATCTCGTTATAGATTTGTGGAAGACACAAAGGCTGCTCTGCTTCCTGTAGAAGCTCAAAAATGACCTGAAGATAATTCTTTGGTGGCCTTGAAAGTTGATCCGCAGTAAAGTCCTCTCTTTTGTGTGTAACTTCTTTCAAAACATAAGCAACCTTTCTGGAGCTTCCGTTTTTGGCTTGTATGCAATTGCCATCATCATCAAATCTGTCCTCATCACCCTCCTCAGGGGTCTTAGGGCCTGATTGTCTCTTGGTATATTTGCGTTTTTGTCGTGGTGGTCCTTCTTCCGTAACATCTGGTCGTGGATGCTTTCTTGGTCTACCAACTTTGTTTTTACCAGGTACAGTTTTCGAGGCTGTTGCTTGATTTTGTTCTTCAACCCTCTGCTCTTCTTGAGCCCGTTCTTCTTCTTGAATCCTCTCTCTTTCCAGGGCTTCCTTCTTAGCAATTTGTTGTTCACGTTTGGACATGACACCATTCTTAGGCGGGCGTCCTGGTCCACGTTTCTTTGTAGGTTGTGGGCTACTGTCCGTTGAGTTGTCAACAGGGGATTCTGCTTCCTCGGCGTCTTTTTCTTCGTCAATCGCCACTCCTAAGGGGTACAAAGGATCGAGATCCTCCACTCTGTCAACTTCGTTGTCAGGAACTTCGTCCACCCCGAAATCGTTTTCATTATCTGAAGAGCATTCGCTATCGGTAGACCTCTGATCACCAGCTCGTGGTGCATCATCAAAACTGAGACTCATCTCTTTCCCTCCTTCCGAATAGGTTGTTGTCGCAGTAGCAGTCGCCTCTTCTTCGGGTTCTTCATGATACTGGAACCCTGTGTCATCGATTACGACATCTGGTAACAGAAATCTAAAGAAAACAAACCCCATTTGCAATTTGCTACCACTCACTAATGGTGCTATCTGCTTGGGCTCGAAGTATATATCGTCCACGAAACCTCCATTTCTACCAAGGAATTCTACTTTGAAACTATCTTGATGGTCATCATAAAATATTTTAACGTGTTCTCTGGATATAGCTTTGAAGCCCGCTACACCTTTGTTGAATGGAGGATGTACATGGAGGACAGGACAACTATGCGGATCGGGGTTTTGAAGTGACATGTTTCCATTTGCAGGAGGCAGAAGTGATCCAGCAGTAGCACTGTTCCCACTGATAGATCTTGAGCCCTTATTCTTCTTCCCCTTGCGACTTCGCCTGTCTGCCAATTTTACCCAAGGATCCATGATACCACCAGTATGACTTTCGATCTGCATGGTTGGTTTAAACGAGGAGAATTCTGATGTATTCATTGCCTCATGCTCCTTCTCATATCTTCTCATATTGTTATACCCATTTTGATCACGACCTATGATCAATTCATGTGTAGTCATATAAAAGTCCGAATCATCAAAAGCTAGCTTTGCATAACCATCCAACTGCACTCCTGGGTCTATCAAAGGTTGTCGATTATAAAAGTCCGGGTTGGGCGCAACGTTTGGAAAGTCCATAGTTTGGTCGTAGGCCCATACGTTGCCATCCAAATTCATATCCGCTCCATATATGTTCGCAGGATCTACAAGTACATTTGTCGTGTTATAAGAAGGAAAGGAGGCAAGGGGTCCAATATTTGACGATTGTAGTTGTTCCTGAGTGGGTTGGACTGTTGATTCCGGACCAGCTTGTCCAAAAATTTCGGGGTTGGTATCGTTGGCCTCTTTTTTATGCGACTCCTGTTTAATTGTCGCATTACTCATCTCCATTGCGGAATCGATTGGCACTGTGGATTGTGCGGAAATGTTGTTCTCAGTATGGTTTTCCGATCCTGTATATCCCGTTTCATTCGTAGTATTGAGTGCCTCTTCTGGAGTGCTTGACTTCTTGATCTCGGGAAGGAGACTTGCTGTCGATGGTTGGGCTGAATTCGAAGGAAGAGTTGTATCCATTGCAGCGGCAACAGACTTGTCTTGTTCTGCAAAGACGGGGCTGTTATTATCGTGAGAAGGTTTGGGGTATGTGAACATCTCGATGTGATCAGAGTCGAAGTGAATGCCTGTAGACATTAATGCAACGGGCGCGACAGGTTGAGGAACGGCCTCTGCCATCTGTGATGAAGTCATCGCTGCTAAAAACAACTCGTTCACCTTCTTAATGTGAAGTGTGAAGGCGATATGTCATGCAGGTAGGGTGTTGTTGCGGTATGGTTGCGAAAGATTCGCAGGTTGCGAGGGTGCGAAGATGTCGATTTTCGACGTCAGAATTGATGCGGAAAGGAAGGAAGGGGAGTACATCGGGATTTATTTTTCGATAGAGGGTCCGGATAAGACCACGTGACTGTAATGATTAGGTAAAGTTTATCGAATGGCGTTACTTGATTAGCTGTAGGTAAAAGTTAATGTTCTTTCTACCGGTCTAGTAGGTGGGTATCTATCAAATTTACAAGTTATCGAGGTCTATCTAAACAACTAAGCAGTATCTAAGCAGTATCTAACGAGTATCTAACCAGTATCTAAGCCGTACCCAGTCAGTATCGGTATCAGCTATCAAGAATCTCTCTTCAATTTTCCCTCGAACCATTCCACTCCCACTCCACTTTTGGAGGAGAAAGAGAATCTACCGTAGCGTGTATGGACTCACTCACACTTTCTCTGTTGATCATGCATGGGCAATTGGATGAATGGCTGCAGATGTTTCCAACTCTCCACCTATTCTTTGATAGATGACTCCAAGTTTCATTCTATTTGCCTAATAGGGTACTTAAGGTAGGTCCATAGGTAGCCCAGAGTCATCGAGTAGATGTAATCTACCTATCAGGGAAAACAGATGATCGTCAACTCTTATTATTCATCTCTTAGGTGTCCCCAACCTTGGAATTGCATACGGTGGACTCCATACTAGCTACTTGGTATATACCTACCTACCTCATAGTATAGATCTAGATAGTCACGCTTACCTAGGTAATAGTGATCTTCTTCAAAAATGTTCATATGTATTTGAAATGGAGTCTATCCCATTATCACATTCACATTGGAAATCCCCATCTATCTACTGTACATCTCTCGCTTCTCTCGCTTCTCCATACTCGAGTACAGCCAAAAAGAAAGGCAAATCCTCTTATCAACCTTGAAACATATCCCCAGATGAAACACTTCCATCCCCAGACATTCAGATGAAATAGATGAATCAGACCGATCTAATGCCCTGTGCTCTCTCTCCTCAACCAATGAAAACCCTTCCGAACTGACACCGGTTGATGTAAAACATTGTAGAAAATAGAGTGGTAGGTAGATCACTACGTCAGCATGAACAGCTAATAATAAATTTAGTAATATAATTCACCAAACCTCTCTTTGATCTAACCATACCATAAATACCATACATACTACTTTCTATTGTAGGCACCTACGTATTGGTAGGTAAAATGCGATGAATTTTTACTTTCATCAAGCTTGGAAAGTGTTTCTGAGCTCTAATAGCCAAGACATTCAATCTTCCTTCAGCTATACCCAGTAAGTACTAATAACATCCATAGTATCCATCTAGTCAATGCAAATCCCATCATCTTTCTTTCCCATCTTCTCATCCATTCTTTTCATCTCCTCTCCTCCTGTAGATTGATGACATTCTATGGCATTCTGCACAATTCCCATCTCTTTCCATCCATATTAGATAATACCCATCAATTGATCCATCCATTCTCCCGAATCAGAATCGCCTCAAACTTTCACATCTTAGCTCAAGTTCATCATCACACCTCAACCTATCGCTTTCCCTCCCTCCAATTCCCCATCAATCCAAACTCATCCTAACCCCAAAAATGTGCGACTTCGGAATTCCATTTGTCTGCATCCAATGTGGTACCGATCAAAATCCATGTCATGTTAAGGTAGTCGGTCCCACACTTGGATTCGGAGTTGGAGTACTCAGCGCTGTGAGTATGACCAGTCCCCCCTCCTCCTCATTCCGCACTAGCAACGGTTTTATGAGCTACAAGTCTCCCAGATACAGCCAGCCCTGCCACCGCTCCAAGGTCGCTTTCAACTGACAAATGCAATAGCTAGTATGTTGGCCAGCCTCGCTCTTCGTCGGCTGCTGCGCTACGGAAGTGGGTAAAAAGTAGGTTCTCATCTTTTGATTCTCCCTCTCCTATCTATCACTCATCTATCACATCACAAGCCAATGTCAGAGTGATGACAACTAACGATAGTGCACAAATCAGAATGTTAGGAGCACCTGTGGATATCAACGGACAGGTCTCAAACGCGATACCGTTTTAATGTATATTTGTATTTGGAGACAGCTACAGTGCGTCGATGTGATGAAGTAAAGTTAGGATTTGGATACGTGTGCATGGAGAGAAGAAAATAGAAGAGAAGGATGTTACAATGATACCTGGAAAGATGGGCGGTGGAGAAGAATGCAATTGGGCGAATGATCTGATCTGATCTGGTATGGCATGATGCGTATATATAATGAGTGTGCGGCAGTGAGAGAGGAACATGAAATGATTCAACAATGGAGATTGCACTTCCAATAACGCGCCCAAAATGCTCTCACACCCAACCCCCATAGGGTCATAAAATCAACCTTCATCTTCCCACGCGTCATAAGCTCCAGCGTCTGAATAATAACGCGTATACAGAACCATACAAGACACAACACAGCATAGTTAGGATTACAATCAATCCCCTATGTCATTTACCATAAACCACCAATTACAATATCATCTAGCTATCGTAGGTATCTAGAATTTCATCTCTGCGATCCACAACCCACAACCCACTTACCATAACACATCCGCCCTGCAATCATCTCATTTCAAACCATCCCTAGCGTTCCCAATACACACTATCTAGTGATCGAGGTCCTCGCCTTCCTCTTCCATTACACATTTCCCATCTACATATCTCCACATCTCCAGATATTCAACATCCATCCATCCATCCATTCACCAACCCAGCGCATCCGATTCTTCTCAAAGCACAAGAACAAGAACAAACTCAGCAAATTGTGAAATCAAATCCGAAACTAGATTGTGAAGTATAGATTATATGGCCCCGGGGACCTTGGGTAGCAAAAAAAAGAAATCAAGTACATCCATAGCTTTATCTTACATTACGCGTAGAGGTGGGTAGGTATCGAGTATCTAGTACCTATCCAGACCCATTATCTTTCTATTTCCGTAACGAAATAGTCAAAATAACCAGTGCATTCATTATCTACAGCGTACGCGTACCGATGTACTCTATGAACATATCTACGTACCTAGGTAGACGAGTTACTATTACCTGAGTTACTATTACCTACCTACCTACCTACCTACCTACCTACCTACCTACCTACACAACAGCATAAGAAACCCCGTTAACCTATGTATCCCCTTGCCAGCGTATCTATCCCCTTCAGCTCCGGATTTTCCATACCAAGCCAAAGTCTCAAGATGCATCCATCTATCGTTGTAAAATCATTGGATTGTCAAATGTGTACATGCATAATACACATACGGAACGATAGACGATCACTTCAAAAAAACTATTTACATACTATCAACAATAACCGAGAACGAGTCATTGTGAAGAAGTTCAGTTGGATGTGTACATATAATTAATCCTATTTAGACGATATTGCTACGACTCGCTATGTTGTACTTGTTATTTCCCAGAGGACATTGGTGTATATGTGTGTATCTGTTTATACAGATCGTCAAGGTAGACCGTTTAAGTATTGGATGTGAGAATGAAAATGAAGAGATGTATGAACGAGGTATTCGTACACAACTTAATGTTAGTAGTCGACTACATGGTGTATAGAAGTGAGCGATTTCGCTTTGACACTCGACGTTTGGATCTTCCTTAAGAGAGGATGCAAGTAAAATAACAATAATGCTGTGAGTCGACAAGGCCTTGATCGGAACTGAAGGAGGAACCCGGAAAGACATGCTCACACGTAATCAAGCCTCTTTCTGTCGACATATAATGATCAAGGCGAAGATAAAATATAACACAACCTACCTTGTTTCTGACAAGGTAAACGTCAAAAACCCCTAGAATTAGTACACATCACAAATAGACTTACCATCTTATCACAAAACAGTGTGCTCTGAGGCACAAGATTCGTATCTTCTCAAAAACTTTGTCAGCATTGCAATAAAATCTAAGTACAATATAGGAGTCTGCACCTTTGCACCATGATAGATATCCTCAGTCCCCGCTCGAACTGATCTGATCAAGCCAATCTCACACCAGCTTGTCTGTTCTTCTTCAACTGTTGTGCTGCTGCTCCCGTCATACCACCAATTTGACTTCCATCTAGTGAACTCTGCGCTTCCCTTCGTTTCTCATCTTCGATCTTCTTCAATAATTTCTCCGTCTTCTGTTTTCCACTGCCCTTACCATGGAACTGATGTGACAAATGTTTGAAAGCCTCTTTCTGGTTCATATTTCTTCCGTATTCATCGACATATTTGAGCTCCACGTTAGGCTTGTATTCCTTGTTAAAATGCTCAGCGAGTTGCCTCGATTCTTGTTGGTCTCGCATCGTATTCTGTTGCCTGGCATGTTCTTCTCTATCACGAGCAGACATTCGATCCAAGCGACCTGTGGTACGATCTCTTTCTCTTTGAGCTTTCGCTCTTCTCTCTGCTTCTGCCTCGCGTCTTTGTTTTTCCGCGAGAAACATTTGCTTCTCTCTGAAGATTGTGGCCACATCACCAGACTCTGAAGTCTTCAGAATACCTCTTTCTCTCAAGAGTTTCAAAGTAGAGCCCAAACCCTTTTCGAGAGTGGCTTCCTCTTCCAATCCATTATTGGCAATGGCATCCTTGGTTTCTTCTTCACGCTTGATCCGAGCGAGTCTATCTTCATCATCCTCGATATTTGCGTACGATTCATTCATTTGGACATCTCCATCATCATCAGAATCGGCGCCCATGGAAGTAACGGCGTCTGGTCGAGATACAGATCTTTTCTTGGGCTCTGGTGCAACTGGCTTTTGAAGGTTCGCAACAAATTCCGAAGTTTCATCAATAACTAATCCCGAATCATTACCTTCCTCATTATCTGCTGGAGTTGCTGATGCTTCATCTCTTAATCGTTGAGCGAACTCTTCTGGTCGTAACTTTTGGCGTTTCTTCAGTGCATTTCTTCGTTGGGTAGCAAGTAAAGCTTGTAAATCGTCATCATCAACAAAGGACACGTCCTCGAAAGTTCGCTTTTTGACAATCGGCTTGGTGCCTTGATCAACATCCATTGCATCAGCATTGTCTCCGTTGGATGCAGCTGGTTCAGGTTCTGGAAACACGTCGTCTTCATCCACTACCTTTTGTCGCGTTGACTTAGCCTTCTTCTTCTTGGGTTTTCTAACCTTGATGTCTGAAATGTCAAGATAATCGGATTTCGGTTCATCGTCTTCTAAATGAAATATTAGCGACTGTACTGTTTAGAACTTCAAGTAGTCGGGGTCCTAAAACTTACTCAAAATATCGAGGCTGAAGGTTTTGGCTTTTGATTTCGAGGTAGAGGCAGAATTTACTGTTGCGGCTTCAGTGGTGCTACCCATGCCATCCAAAGTAAACCTCTTTCCTCTCTTGCCATCAATCTCCTCATCATACTGGGCTAGAATCTTTCTATCACCAGAATCATCATCGTCATTCGGGTTGTACACGGGCTTCTTCTTTTTTAGTTCCAACTTGTCAGACAACTTTTCACGCTCGCGCAAATCTAAATTCTCTAACTCATCTCCCTCTTCCTCGTTTTCATCGATGGTGGTATCCTTTAATGTGAGAACTTGATCCTCTCCTTCAACAAATGTATCTAGTTCATGACCGACTCTAACGCCTGCAAGATCTTTGGCTGTATATTCGGCGGCTGCAGCAGCTTCTGCCTCGGCAAGTTCCTGTTCCTTCTTTCTGGCTTTTTCGATCTCCTTCTGTCGTTTCTTTTGTTTCATCAACCATGCTTTGGCATCCAAATCGCCATCATCGTCGGCTTCTCCCAGACCTTTGCCTTCGAGTTTCGCAAATCGTTTGGCTGTATCTCGCGCTCTCTTGATGGCTTCCGCTTTAGCCTCCCTTTTTCTTTTGGTTTCTTCAGCTTCTTGCAGTTTTCGATAATTGTCATAGCCTTCAGCCTGTCGTGATTCTAATGTACTGCCAGCATCCTCTACTGGTGCAGATGGAGCCTGTTTAAAAATTGGACCTGCAGCTCCTGGCACTGCTAAAGGCTTCATTCCAAGTGAAGCTCGAATACGATTCGTCTCCTCAATAGATATAGCGTCCGCCATTTTGATATAACGTGATGTGGGATGTCGAAGAAATTGATTAATGATTATTGTATCGAGTTTCGCGACATTAATAAAGTTGAAGTTGGTATGTGAGGCTGACAGATAAATTAACCCTAACCTAATGTATACTAGTGTGATCCCAAAGTCACGCTAAATTAGCGCCATAGATTCGCTACAAAAGTTTTTCATTGCGCAAAAAGTTTTTGATTTTCTTCTTACAAAAACACCAGATTTGTGTCCAGCGTCCCTTTACCAGAACTGCTTGTCAGCGATGGTTTAAGGTTGTATGCTGAGGCAGTTCGATCGTCTATGGAGCCATCAACCTACCAAGGTAATTTATGATGTCAATATCCGATCGACAAATCTCAGAATGATCGGTCCTTATGAAACCTGAGTCGCTTCGGCTGATTCGGTGGATGAGTGTACTGAAGACGTCAGATTCCAAATCTGTTTGCCTAGGCTGTTAGCCTTTGAGGTTGCGGAATAACCCTCTCGTCTACATTTCAATCTTGGGGAATTTTTATCATGAATCGGCACTTGAATGAGACCTACGACACTTATGGATTTACACGGCGATTGCGCAGATCTATGGAGGATGCATGAGTGGTGGACTATTTGCGAAGACCACGAAACGAGGCGTCATCTTCATCCGGTCGTCATTCCGCTCGAATGGAATATAATAGTACAAATGCGTATTGCGCGTCAAGTTGAGTATTATTAGGTAGACATCCACGTATTTCATAGTCTTGCTTGTGCAGAGAAAAGGCCCGATACATAATCAAATACTGAAATTCAAACTTTCTTCCATTGAGTGACATGCAACTTCTCATGCAATGCTGTGCACGCATCGGGATCATATACCGTTACGGTAGTTCTCCGCCCTACCTCGAGTACAATCTCCTACGTTGGCGCAGGAGATTCTCATGGCCGGGTTGTAATCCTCTCCAGGGCTATCCTGAAGACGGAAGCTGGACTTGGATCTGGACCTGGTTGGCTCGAGCTTGCATGATCTGTATTATGACCACAGCAATGGGCCGTCAATCATGCATGCAGAACAATATACGTACTTATTAGTATGTACCCGCAAAGCGGCCTGTCTACCTAGGTACTCAATTGACGCAAAACTTCAAGCTATGTGCCTCGGGTATCAATTACAAGGTGCATTGCTCAATCAAAGAAAACACTTGATTCTCGGGGTTCAACCTCGGTATACTTGCTAGTTTCTTTCCAGACGACCCTGTCTTGCAGGATATCTTTCCACATGGTGTTTTGTCGTCCATGGCTCGTCATTCGATCGGATAACGGATAATCCTTCGATCTTGTCTACTAGGTATGCCGCTTCCAATCGTTCAAGGACCCGATCTCTCTAGCCACCATTTGGTCCATATTAAGGAGTGGTGGAGATCTCCGCAGGATCCTCAAATGCAACTGCATACTAGGTAGGTACTTACATCGTACAGAGTACAAAGTACAAAGTATCAATGGTACGACAAATCTGCTCTTTCTTAATCTCGGCATCTATCAAGCTCGCCTACAATATCAGAAACGAACTTCAAGACCAAACCCCAACTCCAGATCATGTATATACACCTGCATTGAGGATCTGTACCAAACAATCTCCAACCTCATACCGGTAGGTACCCTCGAGGTACCGTACATCAAATGCAAAGCAGAAAAACGTGCTCAGGCGCAGCGCGGGGTTGGATTCAGGCTGTGGCTGCAGACAAGGGACGGCCCGATTAGATAGAGAATGGCTCGTGTGGGGACCCCGGACTAGCGAATACCTACCAGCGAGGACTTAACCTTATCTTGCTCGAGCCGTGGTACCTACTACTAGGTAGGTATACAATGTCATTGCTGACTGCGGGGTGGAGAATAATATGAAGTTATACACACTTCTGCGTGCCCAAATTAGTAAATACAGACTAACGCATCTCGAGCGCATGTATCGATTGAGATCTTCAAGCACATTTCAGCTGTTTTCCCTAAACGAAATGGTCGTCATCCCGTCTGTCTGAAGACTACCCAAGTACGGTTAATCATGGACTATTTGGTAGCTACATTCAATCACATCTAGACACGATCTTTCAGGGGCCACTTTTACATGCGTACCAATGAACTGAGAAAAGGGCCCTAGCTTGTCACTGTCTATTTAAGAAGAAGAAGAGAAAATCACGGAATTTAATTTATTCAACTTCAAGGTAAGCTTTTAGTACATTCGAAAATTCACAGATTGAACGGCTTAACGTTGCGCCTAAAGTATCTCAAAACGGTTCTACCTCCGTACCGCACACAACATCGTGACTGCCTCCGTACCTTGCAGCTACACAAACAAAAAGGCAAAATTCTGTCCTCTCTTGATTAGCTCATCTAATCCCTACAATACTACCTTGATTCAACTACCTGCCGCTCACACTATCCAAAAAAAATTACCCTGGAGACTTCGGATGCGTCAAGACACCTAGCATCCAAAGGCACAATTCGGTCCTACATACCTTTATCCATGACTTAGGTCTAGACGGAGAGTTCTTCTCACCAACATAAATAGCAATGGCTTCTTCATTGTTTTCCTCCCTCACCTCTCTCAACTCCATCAGCACTTTCAACAGCACTCTGGTCCTCCAAGCTGTTCAACCCATTATGCATACATTCGCTCCCCTCCTTTTGGTTGGCAGTCTTGCCCTCCAAACTATTTATGCCTTGCCTGGCCCCAGTAAAGTTGAGCAACGCGCCGAAATCCTAAAACGCTCGGTGGATTCTTTCATTGCCACCGAAAGTCCTATTGCTTTCAGAAATCTTTTATGTAATATCGGCTCAGATGGAGCTTGTGCTTCAGGGGCAGCTTCGGGGATTGTGATTGCTTCGCCTGACAAAGTGAATCCAGATTGTTAGTATTTCATGGAGTTGTTTGAATAAATGGAATTCTGATATGCAAACAGATTTTTATACTTGGACTCGAGACTCCGCATTGGTCTTCAAAGCCCTCGTTGATACATTTATCAGTAGCAGTTATTCTGCATCACTTCAACAAGAGATTGAAAATTATATCAGCTCCCAAGCTGGTCTCCAAACCGTATCAAACCCTTCAGGAGGATTATCATCCGGTGGTCTGGGCGAGCCCAAGTTCAACGCGGACAAATCGGCATTCACAGGTGAGAAAATGCGAAAACTCTCTTCTGATGGTGACTGACATGTGAACTATACAGGGTCTTGGGGAAGACCTCAACGAGATGGACCCGCTTTACGTGCTACTGCTATGATTACCTATTCAAAATGGTTGATTGCCAATGGATATACCTCCACTGTGCAAAACATTGTTTGGCCAATTATCAGAAATGATCTGTCTTATGTTACTCAATATTGTAAGTCAACGGGAAGAAAACCAAACTAGTCTCAGAATAGATGACCCTCTTTTCTTGAAGCCTTTGGCTGACTCAATCCACAGGGAACCAAACTGGCTTCGATCTCTGGGAAGAAGTTCAAGGATCAAGTTTCTTCACTGTCGCTGCTCAACATCGTGCCCTTGTTGAAGGTAGTGCATTGGCCGCCCAAATTGGTCAAAGCTGTACCTATTGTGATTCTCAGTAAGTATACATGAAAGAACATGTTTCAATACACGTGCTAATCCATTTTTTCAGAGCCCCACAAGTTCTTTGCTTCCTCCAAAGCTTTTGGAGTTCATCTTCGGGATACATCATTTCCAACATCAACCAAAACAGCGGAAGAAACGGAAAGGATGCAAATAGTATCTTGAGTTCTATTCAGACTTTTGATCCTACTGCTGCATGTGATGCCACCACATTTCAACCATGCTCAGACCGTGCTTTATCAAATCACAAAGTCGTGACTGATTCTTTCAGATCTATCTACAGCATTAATTCTGGAATTGCCGAAGGTGTTGCCGTTTCTGTTGGACGTTACCCAGAAGATTCTTACTATGGTGGCAATCCCTGGTATCTCAATACTCTTGCGGCTGCCGAACAACTATATGATGCATTGTACACGTGGAATAGAATTGGCTCCATCACAGTAACTGCTACTTCCCTCGCATTCTTCAAGGATTTCAGCTCTTCCATCACAGCCGGAACATACGCATCCTCCACATCAACCTACACCACTCTCTACAACGCCATCAAGACCTACGCTGATGGCTACGTCAACATCGTCGCAACCCACGCGCAAGCAAACGGGTCCCTCTCAGAACAATTCAACAAAGCCGGCGGCGCCCCTCTTTCAGCTTACGACCTCACCTGGTCCTACGCAGCCTTCCTCACCGCCGCCGCCCGTCGCGCAGGCGTCGTCCCATACTCATGGGGTGAACCATCCGCCTCCAGCGTCCCAGGAACTTGCTCTGCTACCTCGGCCATCGGAACCTATTCCACTGCAACTGCCACTTCTTGGCCCGCATCGCAAACCCCCAACGGCGGAGGAAGTACTCCCACAACCAGTACATCCGCCACCACCAAGACAACTTCCACCTCGACCACCACTTCTTCATGCGCAACAGCCACTTCGGTAGCTGTCACTTTCAATGAATTGGTCACTACCTCCTTTGGCCAAACGATTAAAATCTCAGGTTCCATCTCCCAATTGGGAACTTGGACACCGGCTTCAGCGATTGCGTTGAGCGCCGCAAAGTATACGGCTAGCAATCCGCTGTGGACCGTAACGGTCAATCTACCAGCCGGCACGACGGTGTCGTACAAGTTCATCAATGTGGCGAGTGATGGGACAGTTACTTGGGAGGCGGATCCAAATAGGAGTTATACGGTTCCGAAAGGTTGTGCTACGACTGCTACTGTTAGTGGGAGCTGGCAGGCGTGAGAGGATCTCTCAGATTCCGTAAAGAGATGATAGGGAGATGGTGGTAGTGGGAAAGTTTGAGACAATGAGATCCAGGAGTGGAGCTTTATGATTGTATGAATTAATTGGTTATGGTACATGAAATTGATCAGTATCATTGCATCATTGCAGTCTTATCGAACCCTAACAGCGTGTGTACATGCATGTGTGTGCGCGTGTGTTTCTCAAATAATCTCCTTTGAAATCATCCCAAGCATTTCAAGATAAGCTCCTGATTCCACAACTCTAAAGATCATCGGGTCGCTAATAGCAAGATGTACCCTTCACATGATTTGATATCATATGAAAAAAGCAATCAAGTGAAGTAGATGACAGAAACATTAGCAAATCTGCAACATCAATTAATTCCGAAAGAATCCCTCAAGATCATTTGAAAATGGCCCCCTTAAATCTCGAAGCGACAATTTTTTCCCTGGGGTGCTTCTCAAAAGTAAAAGACCCCTCTCAAGTAATCTTATGAACTTAAATTCAAACTCCTCATTCTTCCTCATCACTCGTAGCTTCAATATTCTCTTTCTTGCCCTTCTTATTCTTAACCTTTTGCGCTGCTGGCTTGACTTTTTTATTCTTGCTCTTGGACTTTTTGTCGGCTTCTGAGTCTGTTTCCACGGCTTCTTCCTCTTCTTCATCGTTGGCATCTGACTCTTCTTCTTCTTCGTCTTCCTCTACCTCTGCTTCTCCGGGACCAACGTCAATACCCTTTTTCTTAAGATTGGCGTTGATTTGGGGGATGGATTTAAGGAAGTTTTTGTATTGGTCAACTGTTAGGGAGATACCCTATTTATTTATTATTAGCTCTTAACTTCTTTTTCTATTTGTCTACTCTGAAGATTGTACATGTATAGAATTTGCAGAGATAGTGTTTGTGAGACTGCGCAGCGCAAGAGGGGGATACAACAAACCTTCTTTCCAGGTAAAACATTTCCATCTTTCTCATAGAACTCGCGAATGTTTATGAGCGTTTGACCTTTGAAGTCTGAAAGCTCAATTTTGCGAGGAGTGCGTCCGGTAGAGAGATCCCATGAAGGAGAGATGGCGGAGGAGGAGGAAGTGGGTTTCGCTGCTGTAGTGGCTTTGGTAGCTTTGGTGGTCTTGGATTTCTTAGACTGAGGGGTATGTTAGCGACGGCTGGGTATTTGTGGGGTGCGTTTGAATAGAGAGGGGCAATGTATTTAGAATTGATTTTGGAAGGTGATGCCAGAAAGAGAAGGATGGATAGATTAGGGACAATTGTATTGAAATGGAAATGGAAATGGAATTGGAATTGGAACTGGAACTGGAACTGGGAGAGGGGTTACCTTGCGAACAGCACCATCATCATCGGATACGAAACCACCGTCAGAGTCGTAAGTCTCGGCAGGTTCAGCGCGGGCTCGTTTTGGCATTTTGAGGGGAGGTAGAGATTGAGATTGAAATATGCGGATTGAATTTGGATCTGGTTTGTTGGATGGGAGTGATGAATCAGCTTATCAATGAGGGGTCTTTTGGAGTAAAAAGATAAGATAAGAGATTATTGAGAGAATAGAGGAAACAATGTTAGACAATGAAATAGTTGAGATGATTTATTTTAAAGTTCAAATTTGGAATGAAAGATTGTTTGATGAGTTACCTGGTAGATTTCATTTGGATTTCATTGTCATGAATTTATTTGGTTGACGCGTTGAGATAAGACGAGAGACAGATCGCGTTTGCGCGTAAATTGATTTTGATGGTAGGCTGATGGGCAAGGATGGATGGGTCGAACCTATATCTAACCTCACTCAAGCTTTTTTAGTAACGGAAACGGTAATCTTACCTTTCCTTACTTCTTCTAGCTACAGGACTGGGGAAAGGGAAGGGGAAATCATCCCTGACGATCCATCAAACATCCATACAGAGTACAGAGGAGTATTTACACATTTACCTACGAGATGTACGATATGTAGCTATACGTTTCTTTTCTTGTTTCAAAGGCTTCCTTCCACCGTGCTCGGGCCGTATGTTTCTCGATCATGACTATGGAAAATACTCATCAGAAGTGATGATTTGAATGTCTGTTTTTAGATGGAATAAATGATCAAGTATATGAAAACATGGATTTTGGAGAGGAAAAGCCATTTGAGAAGATACCTACTGGGTATCTAGGTAGGTAGTATTGATATGCACAATTGTATTAAGCTTGCAACTTTTGGAGTACAGCAGCCCAGTAGGTACCACCTAGGTAGGTAGGTCGTGTTATCGCTGATAACAAGATTGAGTTGCCATTTTGTTTCAACTCCGCCTCAAAGTTCGCGGTCGAAAAAGAAGGTACACAGTGGTCAAAACCAACATTTCATGGTTCAAAGTTCAAAATGGACTTCGTTCCTTTTTCAATGTGAGTCTGGAACGCCATTTCTCTTCTTTTGACTTTCGTCCTTAATCTTAGTATCCCTAGTACATGAAGCTATTCGAGATAGAAGCTACGCTAAACTACCTAGGTAGGCAATGACGATTGACATTCAATTGACATTGCGAGTAGAATGACTTTGGATTAACATTGCATCAGCATTCCTTCGAACTTCGCTCTTTCTGATTCTTTTGCCGCAGCAGCATTGAATCAACATAACAGGTTCAAACTTTATAAAAGAAAAGAATCAAACAATACAATACTGTCAGATAACACCACTACCTACTCGAATGCCCACAATGGACTCAACAAACGAGTCCAAGGTCGCGGAAGTCGCGACCGACGACCACATAACTACACGATTACTACGATTTGTTTCTACGGCCTCGAATGAGCAGCTTATTTTGGCAGCTCTTGCTTTGTCATTCGGCATATATATAATCATCGATGGACTGTTTCTTCTCCTCCTTGGAGGCCTAGGCGGTGTCATCTTACATACAATTTTTACGGAGAAAAGTGCTTTGGCTGTGCGAGAAGAAGCAGTCAAGCCAAAAGATATTCAGTATGAATTGGTTGAGGCTGGCGCAGGAATCAACTTCGAGAGTTTCCGACCTAAGACTGCCACTGCGTTAAACGGCTTAGTTGATGCCGTCATTCGGGATTATGTCAAGTATTGGTACAGTCCAATACTCCCAAACGATGAAGCATTCCCCATTGCTGCGAAATCAACCCTCACGAGGTTCATTCTATCGATGTCTCAGCGTCTGTCGAGAAAGCGACCTGCCGACACATTCCTTGATTTCCTTACCAATTCGTCCTCCATTACCATTGTCTTTCTCAATGAGTTGGCGAATGCAACTTCTGCGACCCCAGGAACAAGCCGGCCTGTCGGAGAGATGGTGACCGCTTACTTGAGTGCAAACCCAGATAGCAGTCTGGCCAATATTATGAATGAGAGACAGCAGAAAATAAAGTTTACAATGGCAGCAGACGATCTTCTGCGAAGCTTCCTTGAGAAGTCAGTCTATGGATCCGGACCAGCCAGAATCTTTCTAAGGGAGATCCTAGCTGGGGTCGTCTTAGAAATGACTCTAAAAAGTTGTTCTAAGCCGGAGTTCATCAACGGATGGATTGTATACCTCTTGGAAGACGGAGAGCCTGGATTGGGACAGGCAATTGATGAAGCCATGGACCGTAGAAATATCCACGATCCATTCTCCGACATTGATGGCAACGTCGGAAATATTAGTATTGCTAGATCCCCTAAGAAACAAAGGCATCAAAGGCAAATATCGGATGAAGACGCCAACAATGAAGCTATGGCAGAAGCGAAGAGACTCAGCATGTTGATTGCTGCAGAGGATGCAAAGAAACTTGCGCAAATCGATGATTTCAAGGACCAAGAAAACAAAATTATTGACGATCAAAATATCAAAGAGAATATACAACCGGAATCAGTTCCTGTCTCATCAACAAACGGCATTCCGCCCCACACCCCTATCACAGACTCAAGACCTTCTCTGTCTGGATCTGATACGAACAGCAGATCTCCTATGTCTCCTGACTCGAAGCAAGCTCTATCGCCTACAACCCCGCAGACCACTTCCTCGTTTACCAGCTTCGACCAGATCGTGCCCCCCACACCTGCCGCATTATACTCAAATGAAACCTCACCTCAGAGAAGCAAGCCAGCGCCTCTAACCTTACATAATGCGAACATCATTATTTATGATGACTCAGTCGCTTCCGATAAAGGAAGGATCAAGAACAAACCTACAATGGACTATATGGTCCAAATTGAACCACAGTCATCGATCCATCCCGGATGGATGATTGTCCGAAGATATTCGGATTTTGAGACCTTGCATGAGGTACTTGGTCGAATCGCTAAAGTTTCGGGTGCGAATCCTTTCATTGAGAAACACCAAGATTTACCAAACTGGAAGACCCTCACCAAACCATTGCTACGCGGTGAATTGGAACAATATCTGAAAGATGCTCTCACGCACCAGCCACTTGCTGAAACCGAGGGCATGAAACGATTCCTGGAAAAGGATCAAGGGACAATGCCGGCAACATCTGCAAAAGCTGGCTTTAACTGGCCTACATCTTCTCTTGAGAACATGGGCAAAGGCGTTTTTGATACACTTAAAAGCGCTCCGAAGGGGGCAGCTGCTGGGGTCACAGGAGTTTTCAGCAACATTGGATCACTTGCACAAAAGAGAACCAGTCAAAGTAGCTTGCACTCTCAAAACCGTATCTCGACACCAGCATTGTCAAGAGTGGATAGTATGGCATCTCAGAGTAGCTTGCAATCCCAAAATCGTATGTCAACACCGGCTCTGTCAAGAGTGGATAGCATGGCCTCATCAAATGGTTCCTCATTTGAACAAAAAAGGGGTAGATTGAGCGAGGAGAGCATGAAAGCAGCTTCAGTTGTCTCACATCCTGGAAAGACTGCATCTCTCGGACGAAAGTTAAGTCGTGGTTCTATTCCAGGCGCTGAGGAGGAGTCCGGTATTAGAACCAGAGGATCATCTGTAAGCAGCTATATGAGCACCGCCTACAGCCCGTCAAACAGTCGTGAGCCTAGTCAAGCTCCATCAACATCCAAGTTACATCTGCCGCCACCACCTACTGAGATGCCCGATGATTATACTACCCCAATCGACAGGTCGTTGAATCAGTCTGGGCTGGTGAATGATAGTAACGGTGCAATCACAGCACCAAATGAGAAAAACCTTACCCCAGTCGAGAAGTCATTGCATCAAGATGTGCTTAACAATGACAATAGCGTTGCACCCACACCAGCAAATGAGGAAAAGCCTGCCCTAACCGAGAAGCCCTCAAACCAGGACATGCTGGGCAGTGACAAGAACCAAACACCTATACTATCAAAAGAGAAGAAAACCGCCCCACTGAATGAGGAAGAAACCAAAGTAGCAATCGAGCTCCTCTTCGCCATGATAACAGAATTATATACTCTGTCTTCTGCTTGGACCTTCCGACGCACACTCCTCACTGCCGCGAAAACATTTCTTCTTCGTCCAGGAAACCCTTCTTTATCCTCTATTCAAGGTCTCTTGCAAGACTCCGTTATCTCGGCCTACACTTCCGATGCGGGAATCGCTTCTTCCATTCAAAAGTTGAGAGAAAATGGCTTACCTACAGAAGCCGAATTGAAAGCCTGGCCAGAAGAGATGACAGCAGAGAAAAAAGAAAAGCTGAAGACTAAAGCAAGAAAGCTTCTACTAGAGAGAGGCATGCCTATTGCCCTAATGGGGGTGATGGGACAAGCAGCTACCGGAGAAGCATTAGGGAAAGTGTTCGATGCATTGCAGACGGAAGATATTGCACGGGGTCTGGTTTTTGGTCTATTACTCCAAGGGATCAAGGCTATAACACAGTAAAAGACGGGACATTGAGAGAGTTAGAAACACTACGAAGAGATGAGTCATTGAAAAGCATAATTAGATACCACTGTTACGTAGCACTATTAATCAACGAGAAATGAAAAATGAAATTATTAAAAAAACAAGATTTATGTCGTTTTAAGATACTCCTGCAATGACTGCAATAATCCCCTGGTTTGCTAATACTGCACATCTTTTCGTAGGAGAGTGCTCCATGGTCACCACAACACTCCATCTGGTATGCCAAGCTGACAATGGGAACCAACTGACTGATTAAGGTACATATTAAGATAGATATTAAAGTACATATATCTAAAGTTCCACGTCTTTCATCTCGGGCTGAATGGGGATACAAGGTTTTGCAGGCTACAGGAAATCAGAATGAAAGGGTTGGCGAGTATCTTCTTACGCTTCTTCTTACACTTCTTCTTCTTCTTCTTCTTCTTCTTCTTCTTCTTCTTCTTCTTCTTCTTCTTCTTCTTCTTCTTCTTCTTCTTCTTCGTCAGGCTATATAGATATACAAAAAACGTAATGAATAAGACCTCTCTACAAGCAGAAAAAATCTGGAAAGAAACTTTTCTCACAAGTAATCACAACTGTCACTCATCAATCGAGATATGCAGCGACAGAGACAGAGACAGATCTGAGGTAGGTAGGGGGAGAATAAGAGACAAGAGATGATTCTTACACATTGGCAAACCCGCTTTCCTGTCCTGTCCTGTCCTGTCCTGTCCTGTCCTGTCCTGTGGACGATGTGGAAAAATAAAATGTGTGATAAGAGGTTGAGGAGGAGATGGAAGGAGATCCATTGTTTGGAGAGCTTTCTAGCATTTCGTGGGGTTGAGATGGGGAGTTGTGTGGCAAAAGATGATGCGGAGATTTGGAGATTTGGTGGCGAGATGGATGGCAAGTGAGTTTTTAAGGGGAATCGGGGATCTGGATTGTGGACCTCTATGCAACATACCTACATTGCAATAAAGGAAAGGAGTATTTTTAATGAATGTGCCTGAAGGAGATGTTCGAATGTCAATGTAGTGAGATTTTCACATATTGTATGAAAGGCGATGCTTTTAGAAATCGTTAGATGTAGCGTCTGCGAGATCTCCTGTATGGATATATCAGAGTCACAAATGTGAGAGCTCAATCCTCTATTGCTTCTAGGGAAAACCACATTTAAAATTGATTCAGAAGCAAGAAGTGCGTTTATTCTATTCATTCATAATACTCATCGCCTAACCCCGTATTTTTACACCATAAAATTCCTTCTCCATTGGCGAAAATAAAGGAGAGTGATAGTCCTAGCTATCCTATATATCATCTCCAGCTCATCCATAACTTTACAGATCCGTATCGTTCCTGCGCGAATACCCACGACGAAAATTCAAAGCCAATCCATTCATATAGCACACATAACTCCTTCCCAGTTCCTTCCCGATTCATTATTCCATTACTCTGTAGCTAACCATCGTTCCGACCTTATGATTAGCCGTACTGAAACTTCTCAATTGGACTTTCTCTCCATTCACAATCTCTCTCGCATCACTATCTCCCCATTCCATTGGAACCTCACTGTCTGCATCTGCGTAGACCAGAACATTAAATGTGCATGCGCCATCCAGTTCTGGCAAAAACGTAACACTAGCCGTAATCTGTCTGAATATCGATTGAATCTCTAATTGGATTTCTGCTTCGGTTTTCTCGGGAGCGGGTGCGGGTACAGGTGCTTCTCCCTCTGTGGGTGCATTTTCGGATGTGGATGGTGTAGTAGAAGATTTAGATTTGGATGATTTCTTGGAGGGTTTGTTGAAGATCTCAACATCAAATTGCCAGCGTTCAACATCTTCGCCGGTTTCTTTGGAAGTAATCACGACGATTAGTTTGGTAATCTTTCCGTTTACCATCCATTTGTCGAGTTGGGACATAATTTTCTTGATGTAGGCTTTGACTTGATCATCCGAGGAAACTGTTGAAGTGGAGTCAGTCCTGCATATAGCATGGTGAATATGGAGGAGCGAGAGGTGAGGGGTTGAAATGTTAATATTGTTTAAGGAGTACAAACCAAGCATTGTAAGGCCATATTTCTTGACTCTGTAAAGAGATAGTTAGTTGGAATGTTCATGAACTACGACATGAATTGGATAGACAAACGCTGAGAAGTCTTCTGCGGGGTATACACCTCGTTGAAAGCTGTGAAACTATTAGTTATTTGTAGACCATTGGCAGACGAGTCAAAACTTACAGAATAGTATTTATTGAGTATTGGAACTGGGTAGATTAGTTTCCCTCCTTCAGATTGAACATCCAGTACTCACAAATTCCGCAACGAGTTTCGAAGAACCTACAAGTTATTAGCCCTGCAATTTGACTTTCACGGAGTTTGACCTACCTTTCAGAGAGAGTTTATGAGTTTTCGCCTTGTCCGATTTGTCAGACTTATCTTTTGACTTTGTGGTTGCTTTTGTAGCTGCTTTTGTGGTTGGCTTTGTGCTCGACATATTGACTATAGTTCAGGAAGATGATTATGTTCTACAACCTGGCGGGCCTTCTTAACTATGTGTCTCTGATAAAAAGAAAGTAAAGAGCCCAAAATAATTAATCGGTTGCCTCAGCGACCGCCGCACCGGGAAGTTCCGTCGCAAGCAAAGCACCCCAAAATTAAATTTCCCCAATCCTCAACCCCGCGTCCTCATGCTGTGAAGCCCACTCCACAAATGCAGCGATGTCCATTGAACCTGCTTAGGCTTCCCAGCACTATCAGATCTCAATATGCATCCCACTTCCTTCCTCTCTCCTTCCCGCGAACATTCACCACATCGGTAACACGATGTGCTATTGCTAAGAAAATCGTGGGGGATCTAGAACGTCGCATCCAAGCTATACCTATTGAACGATTCCGGAACTTCTGCATCGTCGCACATGTAGATCATGGAAAAAGTACACTTAGTGATCGATTACTCGAATTAACAGGCACGATCCAACCTGGTGGCGATAAACAGATCTTGGATAAGCTGGAAGTGGAACGGGAAAGAGGTATTACTGTTAAGGCGCAAACATGTAGTATGTTATGGAATCATGAAGGGGAAGATTATCTACTTCATTTGGTCGATACACCGGGACATGTGGACTTTCGAGCTGAGGTTTCGAGGTCTTATGCCAGCTGTGGAGGAGCACTGTTACTAGTAGATGCAAGTCAGGGAGTACAAGCTCAAACGGTTGCGAATTTCTATCTGGCATTTTCACAGGGTTTGACATTGGTACCAGTGGTTAATAAGGTGGACTTACCGACTGCGGACTCGCCGAGGGCATTACAGCAAATGGAAGAAGCATTTGAACTAGAGCCCGAGAATGCAGTTTTGGTCAGCGCAAAGACAGGATTGAATGTTCCAGCCATCCTTCCAAATGTTATTAAACAAATCCCAGCACCAGTTGGCGATCACACTAAGCCGCTGAGGTTATTGTTAGTAGATTCATGGTACGATAACTACAAGGGCGTTATTCTACTGGTTAGAATTTTCGATGGAACGATCAAGGCCGGTGACCAAATTGTGAGTTTTGCAACCGGAATCAAATATTTCGTGGGTGAAGTAGGAATCATGTATCCGGATCAGACACCTCAAACTATTCTGAGAGCTGGGCAGGTTGGATATATCTACTTCAACCCTGGTATGAAGAAAAGTCAAGAGGCTCTAAGTGGTGATACCTATACCACTGTTGGCTCAGAACATTTAGTCGAGGCATATCCTGGCTTCGAGGAGCCAAAATCTATGGTTTTTGTGGCGGCGTTCCCAGTTGATCAGAGCGACTATCATCATTTGGAAGAATCCATCAATCAAATCGTACTCAACGACAGAAGTGTAACTTTACAAAAGGAATCTTCAGAAGCACTTGGTGCAGGATGGCGTTTAGGGTTCCTTGGTACGCTTCACTGCTCGGTATTCGAAGATCGTCTCCGTCAAGAGCATGGCGCAAGTATCATCATCACACCACCCACCGTGCCCTTCAAAGTGATCTGGCGCGATGGGACAGAATCTATCATCCAAAACCCCGCCCTCTTCCCCGAACAAGAAACCACACATCAACGTGTCCAAGAACTTCAAGAACCCTACGTCTCAGCAACCATCACCCTCCCCGAAGAATACCTCGGCAAAGTAATCGAACTCTGCGAATCAAATCGCGGCGAGCAAGTCGATCTCACCTTCTTCACCGCCACCCAAGTAATTCTCAAATACGACATCCCCCTCGCCCAACTCGTCGACGATTTCTTCGGAAAACTCAAAGGCGCGACAAAGGGTTACGCAAGTCTCGACTATGAAGATGCAGGTTTCCGCAGGAGTAGTATCGTGAAACTCCAATTGCTCGTTAACAAAGGTCCAGTGGATGCTGTGGCAAGAGTAGTACATACAAGTCAGACGGAAAAGATAGGTAGACAATGGGTTACGAAATTCAAAGAACATGTTGACAGACAAATGTTTGAGGTTATTATTCAGGCGCAAGCGGGAAAAAGAATTGTCGCGAGAGAAACGCTTAAACCATTTAGAAAAGATGTATTGCAAAAGTTACACGCAAGTGATATCGGGAGAAGGAGAAAGTTGTTGGATAGACAGAAGGAGGGAAGAAAGAAGTTGAAGGCGGTAGGCAATATTGCGATTGAGCATGAGGCTTTCCAGAAATTTTTGGCGAAATAAAAGGGGGTGTAGACGAGCTTAATGAATGAATATATGTATCGAATACCACACTTTTTTTATACAACGTGTCATTAATTTTGAAACAAGAGTAGGTATGCTTTCATTTCAGATCATCCTATCCTAATCTTATCCGGGTGTTTCACACTCCCATCCTACCAATTATCCACATTCGTTATCCTCCCCTTGAGACTCCCATTTGCTTCAGTTCCAAAAGTATCGAATTACTTAGTAGGTATTCAATACTACCCAGCCCAACAACCTTAAATTATACAATCCAGTCTAAAACCCAAAACGCTATGCACCTTCTTTCGAATTCCACTCAAAGGTATCGAAGAGATAGAAACGCCATTCCCGAGACCCATCGATCCGTCATTTCGTGTGTCCGACTGAACCATTCATATGTATATAAACCCATTCATCACTTCCGACATGTATTAAGAGAACCCGTTCAATCTTGAGCGCGTTCCTTGCCCTTGTCTCTCTTATCAATATTCTCATTTTCTTTCCCACCAATGCTCCCCCCCTCATCCCCCTCCTCCCCTTCCATAACCTTCCCATCAAATTTCGCATCTTTGGGTCCACTCCCATCCAAGCCTTCCCAATTCCCATCCCATCCTTTTTCATCATCCACTGCCCCAATCGTTTCTCCTTTCTCGGCCATACGTCGAACATCACTCCAATATTCCAATCTTTTGACTTCTTCGTCTGCAGCTTTAAGTGCTGCTTCCAGGTTCTTGGCACGTTGTCTTTGTTTTGTACTCGCACTGTCGCCCTCGATCTCGTCCCCTTCCCCTTTATTACCCTCCTCAACCTCCCCACCCGATTCCTCAAATTCCTTCATCAATCTCGCCAGCAAAATCCGTCTACTCGCCTGAAAGATGAACATATTCATAATCTCATGCATGTGTTCTGGCTTTGTTAGATAATGCAATTCCTCACCCCCGTGTTTGATAAAACTCTTCACTGCTTCCATTTTCTCTCTATCGATTCGACAAATTCGGAGCACTTTCATTAGAGTTGCAATATTACTTATTTCCTCGACCTTCCACTCGGTTTCGTAATTGCGGCTAGAGGCTGCTAAACTATTCCGACTTCGACCATCTGCCTCCAAAGCATGGGGGCCTGTAAGAGTTGTTGCGCGACTTC